CCAAGCAGCATATTCTGAATGGCTACTCAGCATGAGAACTGACAGTGCTGCACTAGGGGGAGGCTGGGAAGCCTCTCACCTAGAAAAGTGGAAGGCATGCAGTGACCCATTGAACAGGGGGTCGCGACACACTTTTGGGTCACGACCCACCAGTTGAGAACCAAGGCTTTAGCAGATGCATACTCTAACTGGCAGCCACGGTCTTCAGAGTTTGTTTACATCCTGGCCACACCTGAGCATTACAACCCAATAGACTTCTATGTTACTGTCTCCCGCCATCCCCACCATCGGGAAACAGCCCCATGGGGCGGTATTGCACAGGAGTGTCAATTACAGCGAGGCTTGCGGTGCTGGATGTAAACAATCACCGGAGGAAATGACTGCCAGACCGAGCTAACTATGCATCTTTGGAGGGGGAGGGGGGGGGTTAGGTTAGGACAAATGGGGCAAAAATCATAGGTTCACTTTGTCCTTAAGTGCATACATCCTTTAACCACTTGCTGACCGCGGTGTTTAGACCCCCTTCCCATCCAGGCCATTTTTCAGTATTCAGCGCTGCGGTACTTTGACTGACATTTATTCCGTCATGCAACGCTGTACTGAAATGAATTTTGTACCATTTTTTGGGGGACAGATAGAGCTTTCTTTTGGTGGTATTTAATCACCACTGCGGTTTGAATTTTTTACTATATAACAAAAAAAAGTACCGAATATTTTTTTTTTTAAATGGTTTTCCCTTTATTTTTTTATGAAAAAAATTTTTTTACCCAATTTTTTGTTAAAATATTAAAGTGGGGGTCACGTCGGGTAAATAGACACCAAACATGTCAAGCCTTAAAATTGCGCGCGCCCGCGAAAAAACACTATAGGCAAAATAGGTCATAGGTGACGCTTTAAAAGATTTTACCGCTCATCAGTTTAGTGTTATCAGTGATTGATGGCCCTAGAATTATTGCTCTAATTGCGACGTTCGCGGCGATATGTAACACGTGCAGCATAATTGGAGCAATCGTCGTTTTTGCGTGTAGGCGCCACTAACGCATTTTTGCGATTTTTGTGAGCAATTTTTTCTTCTTCCTTTTTTTACACTTAACTTTATTGTTATCACATAGGGTGCTCCTATGTGATAACAAATTACAGTGACAGGTCCCCTTTATGGAGACATCAGGGGTCTCTAAGACCCCTAATGTCACCCAGGGACCCCCAGAGAAGCTGATGAAGCAGAGATCTGCTTCATCAGCTTCTCTCCGGTTTCTGTACCGGAGAGTGACAGAGGAATGCGGAAGTGATGTAATATACATCACTTCCTGCATTCAGAGACCGGGGAGGAGAGCGGAGGGAGATCGGGTATTGATCTCCCTCCGTTCTCAGTGCACAGAGCCGCCACATGGCCCGTGATGATGGACGGCGGCAGCGGGGACAGCGACCAGAGGTAAGGATTGCGCCCCCTCACTTGAATCATACAAGCGATCAGGCGTCTTTACAGAAGCCAGACCGCTTGTATGTAAACGGCCATCGCTGGACGTTTAAAATCCAGGCGCTTCCCGCTCGTGCACGAAGGACGTCTAAAGACGCCCACACGCATTCAGGAGGCTCCCGTCTTTCAACGATCGTCGGACGAGAGGTGGTTAAAGTACATGAAAACTCAAATCACTAAACTCAAACTTCAACATGTCAATATAGTTTCAAAAGTAATTTTCAATGTTTTTAAACCTGCAGTTCTCATTGAAATAGTTCCTGGTGATCCTACCCGTGAAGGTTCTTGTTTAGGCATTTCCTATGATAGAGAGACAACTCTGTCCCTGTTACAGGGGGTTCAAACAAAGACGACAAGTGGCTGTTTCGGCACACATTACACAGGCATGGTCCACTGCTGTCTCTAGTAATAAATACACCCTGAGAAATGCAATGAAGGAAATCTGCAGCACTGGGATGCAAGAAGGCCTCATTCACACGAGAAACAGCCGGCACGTACAGCTCCGTGCTGCGTGCGCGGCCTTATTGGGCAGCTCCCGGGAAGGACAGGTGCTGCGTGTGATTAGCCCCTGTCCTTCTCTATGGGACTACGCGGCCGTACGCTCACCCGCCCTGCACGTCCGTGCGGGTGATGGTGTCTGTACTCGTACGCTGACAGGATGGATCCTATCTGTGTCCGAGCCGGGACACCCGCACCCGTATGGACCTGCACTTGGGGTGGGCGTAGGGCGGCGTACTCCCAAAGAGAAGGACAGGGACTGCGTACTAATCACACGCAGCACCTGTCCTTCCAGGCAGCTGCACCATACGGCCCCGCACGCAGCACGGAGCTGTGCGTGCCGCCCGTTTCTCGTGTGAATGAGGCCTTAAGGAGCGAGTTGTTATTCAGTTGGGGCTTACATCTACTTTAAAAGGGATACCAAGTTCAGGAGTTAAATCTTAAAAATGTTTTCAAATACCCTAATTACATAAATGTATCTTATTTGTGTGTCACTCGGCTGTAGATCCTCCAATCATCTCTGAATTGGTGGTGACACTGTCCTTCCTTCTGGAGGGTGGCTACTTGTGTTCCTCATGGTCCCTGTGTGTGTTGTTCAGTAGTCACCGCTCCAAGCTCACTCCTGTGATGGACTACAGTCTCACGTTTAGTTTACCAAGTTATATTGAGATTGTAGTCCATCACAGGAGTGAGCTTGGAGTGGTGACTACTGAACAACACACACAGGGACCATGGGGAACAAAAGTAGCCACCCTCCAGAAGGAAGGACAGTGTCAGCACCAATTCAGAGATGATTGGAGGATCTACAGCCGAGTGATACACAAATGAGATACATTGTTGTTAATAGTTCAGGTTAGGGATGCACAGATACCAATACTAGTATCGGTACATGGAGCCGGCGCCCAATCAGGAAGCCAGGCGGCGTGTAATGACTCACCTCCTGGCTTCCTGATTTGTCAGCAAGCTGGCCAATCAGATAGCTGGGCGGCGAGTCATTACACGCCACCTGGCTTCCTTAAATGGGACTTCAGGTATTGGAATTTGGTATCGGCGAATACAAAAAAGAAATAAAATCGGTACTTGTACTTGATACCAAGAAAACGGTATCAGTGCATCTCTAGTTAAAGGTACTTGAATGCATTTTTAAGGTTTAACTCCTAAGTTCAGTGTCACTTTAAATTGACCCTGCCAGTGCAGTGGTTCCTTTTGTTGGCTTGTTTGCCCTGTGATGACGTAGGAGCTGGTGGCAGGAACCACAGCACGCAGCAGGGGTAACAGCTATTCAACCTATCCAAGGCAGCAACCAACTAATCGATAATGAGAATAGTTGTGAACTATTCTCATTCTGGATTTGTTGGTTGGATCTTCTAGATCTCTCCTCCACGCTGGGAGGAGGGCACAGCAAGCAGTGGGTGGGTGCAATAGCCAGTCTGCTATTGCCATTTGAAATGGCCAATTGAAGGCTGGCTATTGCACCAGCCAACTACCTGCTGTATATACATTCAGCTGTGGAATCTTGCCACTGGCAGCCGTCATTCTCTGGCTGAAGCTATTCAAGTGCCATGTGCTTACAATACAATTATTAAGAAACAGAGGTGTGTTGCGAGAGGTGCGTTGCAGTGCCATTCATTTCAACTGCACCCCAAACGCGCCTCCCACCCACAGTGTGATCACCCGCACTGGGAGGCACAGTCCCGCAGTGCAGTGCAAAAAAATTGGGCATGCAGTTTTATTCTGAAGTAAATTTTATAACACCGAATTGGTGTATTTTATTTTAAATTAAGGATGGTATTTCTTGAATTTTTTTATCCGATTAATCGAAAAAAGAAAAATCGACCAACTAATCGATTATGAAAATAAACCTGACTGGTAAAATACTCGAGGCGGTCGGAGAGCAATGAAGCAGCAGCATTACGGGATGCAAGTCGCCGGAAATGCGTATTTCGATAAAAAACTGTAATCCTGAAAATTTGTAAAAATGGTTTGTTTATTGAAATGAATTGTAAAACGTATTAATGCACTAATAGGACACAATGACTTTTTTCTTATTAAACCGCCCATTTTCTACATCTGCTTAGTAATCACTAATGAGTTTTCATTTTAAAAGTTCAAACAATCGATTTTACAATCGATTCTACAATGTCGTCTAAAAGGAGTTGTTGCGCACAGCTGATGTTTGCCCCTGTTTTGTCTCTTGAAGCCGGAGCTGGTTGTCTCTTAAAACCCATGATGGTGGACATTCTTGTTCTACTCGCTGGCTTCTGATTAGATCTATAAATCATAGTGATTGGTTTTTTCAGAAGCCTGGGGAACGGGGGAGAACCCTATTAGGTGCCACGTGGAAATGTGTCTGCAAACAAACTGCACCACTTACAGGAGATAAAACAAAATGAAAAAATAGCGTAAAAAGATTGTAAAATTCATGTGCAAGTGGACGCGTCTAAAAGCTAAATCCGCCCCAAACCCAAAAACGTCACTTACGCTTAAGTTTCGGGGGAACCGAGCGACTAGTTTTGTCCGATATCTTTCGAAGGCTTTTGTTCTCGAGTCTTTTAAAATGAGTTTGGGATGCATCGGTTCAGTCGGGGAGTCTCACTTTTTCTGCGGCATGTAAAAAAATAATAAAGGATTGAGACCCCCCTTCGTAAAAAATTGAAGTTGAGGAGCAAAGCTGGTGAGCTCAGCTACAGAGATCTCCCACCTGAAGTTCCCAAAGGGCAGACGCTGCTCGGTGTATCAACCTACGCATTCGGGAAACATCAGCTTTGTTTTGGCTTTTCTATTGAGGAGTAAGAAGACGTGGGCTTCTACTAAAAACAAAACTTGCTTGGGTTTTTCCTTTTGTGTTAAACTATCTGGTTCCTACCAGGTGTTACACACGCCTATCCTATCGGTCTGGAAATGACTACATTCGGGTCCGGATAGGGACATTTGTGAAAAGGGTATTTTGCCTGATATGCCTCTGCCTTCACGCTGATGCTTGAGATGCTGCAAAAGCCATACTTGCCCGAAATTTGGCTTGCGCTTTCTCTCGGATATGGAGCCTTTCGTGCTTCAGAAGGCCCAGCTTTCGCGTAAAAGTCTTGCCGCAATCCGGACACGAGAAGGGCTTCACCCCCGAATGTGTGCGCTGATGCCTAAGTAGGTTGGCCCGCCTGGTGAACCCCTCCCCGCACTCCGTACACTGAAACGGCTTGTCGCCCAGGTGGACCAGCTCGTGTGTCCGAAGGTCCGCTTTCGTTTTGAAGCACCGGCCGCAGTCGAAGCACGTGAACACTTTGCCATCTGCGTGGATCTTTTGGTGGGTGCTGAAGGCCGAGCGTTGGGAGAAACATTTTCCGCAGTCGGAGCAAGTGAAAGGTTTCTCGCCGGTGTGAAGCCGCATGTGCTCAATGAGGCCGAGGCTCCGCTTAAAATACTTGTCGCAAATGGAACACTGGAACTGCTTATCGTCCGTGTGGACAGTTTGGTGAGACACGAGGTTCCCTTTGCTGCGAAAGCCCTTACCGCACTTCAAACAAACAAAAGGTTTCTCCCCGGTATGAATTCTACGATGGATATCCAAGGCGGCCTGCTGGGCAAAGTATCGGCCGCACTCGTCGCACATCAACACTTTATCCCCTGGAGAAACCCGGGGGGGCTTCTCAGCCGACCGATCCCCAGAAACGATCTTCTTGATGACGACTTTGCTGTTGATGGTAAACGCTTGTGTTGCGTCGCGGCTGGAATTTTTAGGCAGGTACAAAAAGCCTTCCCGCAGGGCCTCCTTCGTCCACTTCTTTGGTTTCAGAGGACCGGTGGCAAGAATGGAACATTTGATGCATTTAATCAGCTTGGAACGCTTTGAACTCTCAGGCTTGGCAGCAAAACATTCGCCGCACACGCTGCAGGTCACCACCGATAATTTGTCGCCGATGATGGTGGTGCCGTCTTCGGATATGTAAACCGTTTGGAAGTCGTCTTCGTCGTCGTCCTCCTGGTCGTTGTCGCTCCCCACCGATTTGGAATTTGTTTCTGTAGGCCAGTCAGATTTGCCAGAATCCTCGTGCGCATCGGAATCAGAATCTTGGTCGTCTTCCTCATCTTCCTCCTCCTCATCATCTTCTTCTTCTTCATCCTCCTCCTCTTCTTCTTCCTCTTCCTCTTCATTTACAGAAATGGATATGCATTGAATTGTTTCGGTAGACGTTTCAACAAGTTCGGCTACAACTTCTTCATCGTCAGATTCGACATGCAGGCTCTCTTTAGCGGCACCCTGGCATTCTCTAGATATGTCACAAGCTTTATTTCCCAAGCCGTCTTCTTCTTGACTTTCAACCTCATCTGTTGGAAATATAGTACATTACATTGAGTTAAAACGGAAGCTTGTCATGTATACACGTTCTCACTAAACCTGTGTGACGCTGGCTGTGTATTACAGCTGTACAGTTTCCTTCTATATTCACCTTTTTTTCCAGAGTCTGCATGACGTTTCCATCATCTAGGCAGATAGAAATAGTCAGTAACCATAATGAGGAAGGATTTTTCGTATTGCTTTTTTTTTCTCACCATGGGCACCCAACTAGCTGTGAATGACCACATCATTAGGTCTTGTACATGCGGACGTCATCTAGTAGAGCAGTGCGCACTGCAAACTATTACTAAGAATTCTCAACATTTTCTAAAACCATTAAAGCATTCGTCAGCTCCACTTTGGGTATGAACCA